ATATGTGGTTGTTTTTCTCCCATCATGCACGGCTCTATCACCATGTCACCCTTTTTTACAATCTGTCACTGTTGCAGCTTTTTAACTATTCCCGACGTCTCTCTCTCAGTCTTTTATTCAGTGTCACTCTCATTTTTTTCACTGTCACTCTATATCGCTGCTAGTTTTTTTTTGTTTTTGTATCCGTCTGTCCATAAGTCTCTCAATCCTTTCTCTCCTCAACTATCACTTCCTTTTCTTCTTTGTCATTTGTTTTTGCAGTCTTCAGTCCTGTTTATCGTGTCATTCTCATTTTTTCCCCGTCTTTGTCACTTTCGCTGTCTGTCTCCTTCCTCGCCCATTTTTTTATCTCTCCCTTTATGTCGCTTCATTCCCATCATCTTTCCCGTTTAAGGCCTTCACCATTGGTGTGTGTGTGTGTGTGTGTGTGTGTGTGTGTGTGTGTGTGTGTGTGTCTACGCGTGCATGTGATTGGTTGTGCGCCTAAGCTATATAAAAGCGGCATACTGAGGAAATTAAAAATAGATTTAAGGGTTTTTGTGTGACAGATGGAAAATGAGGTGTATGCTGGTGCGTAAAAACAAATTCTGAGTATTATTTCTGTGTGCGTTTTAGTGACAGAGACCAGTAGCAAGGGTTAGAGAGCAATACGGTGACCGAGATAGAGAGAGTCATGTCGGGACTGAGCATGACAGAGTGTAAAGTACTTACACTGCTCTACGACCAATGCATGCGTGAGTGCAGGCATGCATGCACATACCAGAGTGACATACATGTGTGCTTGCATGTAGGTTACGGTATAATATGCATCTGTGCGTGTGTGTTAAATCACAAGAATCAAACACACAAGTGCTGAAAGCAGTCTCTACTGAGAGTCTAGCTCTTCAGCGACTACTGTACCTTTGACTACATCTCACCACGGTGCTTCTCCAGCAATGCATGCTGGGAAAAACACTATATAAAAAGGTACAGTAGACTGCCTGGTTTTAGGAATTTCAATTGCCTTGTTACACAATCCCAAAGTCTCAAATAAAGGCAGGCATTCAAATGTTGAGGCGCTATTAGCGTTAACCGCTCTATTAGTGGTGTGCAGTGTGGCGGCGATTAGCTAGCAAGCTGTACACACACACACACAGCTTCCAGTCACATGATTAAATGAAGTACTCTATTGGTATCAGTATCACTTTAAGAGTTCTGCTATTGGTACTGGTATACCTTTATAGTAGCCAGCCCCACTATAAAGATATTAATTCTGTCTGCAGTTAAGATTCATATTTATTTCCTAGGGTTTACATTTTGTAGTAATTCTTTCTTTTATCTGATTCCACCGGGGTGGCAGCAGCGGCGGCTCAGGAGGTGCAGTAGGTAATTGCACATGTTGAAGTGTCTTTGAGCAAGACACTGAAATCACAAATCGTTCCAGGGCAGCATATTGAATGGTGGTTCTGCAGTGATCTGTGTGTGATGGGCAATGGGTCTGAGGCATTTTATTGGCTAAGATAAAGAAAAAGCACTGTATAGTAAGTGCAGTCCACTTACTTTTCTGCACCCCTATGATTTCTAAAATATATGCACACAAAGGCATCTAAAAGCAGCCAATCTGAGACAAACTGTGCGGCTCAAAGACTTTGTAATGTCTGGTCCTGCTGCTGTGTCCATTTCTCACGGGCGTCTAATCACCAGACCAGCCAGGAAATGCGGCTTCACTCGAGAAAGTACAGTGTAATAATAGAACTCCGTCTTTAAACCCTCACCCACTGATTACAGCGATATTCAGAAGCTCTTACATAACGAGCAGATCAAAAGGACGGAGAGCGGGTTGCACACTCTCTGGGCAATTTGTCCGCATTTAACAAGACAGGTAGAATCACTGTATTCCTTTCAAGTTCCCCACAAAACATAGAATTAACATCTCTGATGCGTGTGATGAATTATCCAAGCGAGAGGGAGGGATGCCCACCACGTCCCCGTCTACCTCCTCCTTCAACGTGTCAGGTCTCCCAGAGAGCTAAAACAGAGCGCTAATTAGCTTCCACAACAAAGTCCCTCGACCGCAATGGAAGAGCTAACAAGCTAGCACTTCCCCGAGCATGAGGGTGGTTAATTCGTAGTGGCACATGGCTGACAGCATGTTGTTTAGAGTTTAAAGGAGGAGGCCTGCACATAAATAATCCCTCACATTAAGACACAGTAGGTTAAATCTTCAGAGGTCTTTAGCTAAAAAAATAAAAAATAAAGGCTAATCTCAACCCAAACGGTTAAAGTTTACACCAATGGAAAACCTCAAATGCGAGCCAGTCGTTGGAGCTAACTAGGCAGCGATCTGTTATGCAGCACTGCGTCATGTTGACTCTGAGGGCACACGCCTTGCTTTGCTTTGAAAGGTGAGGAGCTAATAAGCCTTTTTTTTCTCCCCAGCTGCAGTGCCCGACACTGTGAAATCCTACAAGACGCAGCCAATTAAAATGCACAGCGAGGGCGGGATGCACGGCCATGCGGGATGGGAATGAGTTTGCGGACGATATTTCTCTGTTGTGTCTGAGAGGGCCGTCTTGAACCATGATGCATAATCAATCAGCGCACTCCAAAGGAACGTGAGGCGCACCTTGAGGGGTTTTAAATCTGCTGCACCAGTGAGAATGAGGAGAACAGGAGCAGTCCTCCAGTTTATTTGAATGGAATGGTAAAGGTGTCACTATCTGTGCTACACACTCACACTCCCAACGTGTCAAAGGACTGCTTAAGTATAAGTATGCTTCTTATAGAGTTGTTCCGATACCGATACCAGCATCTGAAATGCATCTGTTACAAACTAAAATGCTGGATCAGATATCGGCGACTATGCAAGTATATGCACCGATCAGATACAATGTTACTAACCACCTTAATTTACTTTAATTCAAGGTGAATTATATTTATTTAGTGAGAAACTTCAACAAATACAGTTGTTTGTTTTCACTGCAATTTAGACTAGATATTAGAGAGGGAATTATGACCTTTTTTTGTTATTAACACACTGGC